TGCGGCATCTTCCGTCGGTGGAAAACGGGTGAGGTTTATTCTCGTTGAAGTGACCTCAGGAAGTATCCCTCGCAATGTCACCCACACATAGAACCACAAAGTACTTGATGCCTGCTTCTCTCACGGCTTGTGGGCTGTAGTCTGGCCGAAGGAAGACCTCCACTTACTCAGCAAGTGGTTCACTCTTGCTCAGGAGTGAGCTAATTTTGATGTTTCCTTGGCTAAACGTCACTATGGAGATATCGCACCCGGTAAACGCGTGGGTGAATAGTACCTTTCCTGGTCATCGCTAGCAAATTTAAATCTAGTCGTAGAATATATTTGTAGTACCTTTGTAGTATTTTACGAGTAGTCGTTGTAAAAATATCCGGTAGATGTTTTACTGCCCGTTAAGGGCAGCTCCAGACTGAAGTTTCGGGGGACATGCTACGAATTAAAAGCATATTTTTTAATAAAAAGAGGTTGACCATATTTTTTGTTACCACTTTTTTTTAGCTCTTCAGCGGAAAGAAGATAAACAGATAAACTCAAATCGTATAGAAACTGCTGGAGGACTTTTTTTTGTTTCCCTAGTATTATGATCACACTACTGGTCACCTTTAATAAAAGGCTCGCGAATTCTAAAAAAATTAGCCTCTGGTAGGAGGCGGGAGGGTTGTATTTTCCCCTGGAAATAAACTCACCACGCAACGTGCTGTACAAAGTCACTCTAAATAAAAGGCTTATAAAAAAAATAAATCTTAGGGGTGCCCTATGCCCTTCCTTTGGAGCCGCTTTTGCCGCTATTGGCCACGGAGAGGCCTCGTTTGCGTTCGGGCTGTGGTCTTTTATTTGGGGTGGTAATACTGATAAAAGCAATTCGTTGGGCTTTTATCTGACTTCATTATTTTTGGTGTTTTGTGGTCTGAGAGGTGGCATGTGTCATAGAGTTTCAACAGTGGATATAAAGAAACTATTTTTTTTCGCTACAATTATTAATAGCCCAAAGCGGCACGCTATAATTTCCAAACACTTGTGGTTTTAAAACACTGTATTTAATTGTTTATTGTTAAGTTTAACATGTTTGTTTTATTTCTATTCTAACCCTTTCTTGCCTGACCAATCAAAAATATGATTATTTAACTTTTTTCTTGCCAAAGTCGATTAAAAAGTCAACATTGACATATTCAAATTATTTTAGATTTTTTGTTAAATTTTTTCTACAAAAATTGAAGGTAGTACTTTGAAGTACCGTCAGCGATCTGGAACTACATTTAAATGGTAAAATAAGAAATTTATATATTTGAAAATGCTCCTATAAATTATGAAAAACATTAAAACTAACTTGTAACAGTTATTTTTTGAAAAATAAGTAGATTCATATACAAACATCACACTATTGAGCTACTTTGTGAAATTCGAAGAAACAATTTTTGGTAGCATTACAACACAGTAATAATTTACACATAAAACATTCTGGGACTGGTCTAGCTAGACTGAACACCTTTTTTACTGCAAACTTCACATCTACCTCGTTTGTTATCAAAAAGAACCCAATGTGTACCCCTATTTGAAAATCTAACATCGGCTGTTATAGAATAGCCGTGGCCACGTCTCTTCTTCAGAGAATTGGTATTGGTGGTAACTTCGTTGAAAAGTCCAATAAGGTATCTAACTGCATTTATATGAAAATATGAAAATGAATCCGGTGCTTCAGAGTACCTTCCGTCAATAAGGGGCTGAACAAAGATTTTGAATTTTATTTATTTTAGAATGATTTTTTGTTTTTGTTTGTTCCTATATTAATTTGTTTTTTGTTAAAAACTTTATTTATTTTAGAATAATTTTTTGTTTTTGTTTAGGTAAATAAAGAATTTATTTATATAAAAATTATAATGGTTTTTCTTTGTTTTTATTGTTTATTTAATTATTAGGTTAATTTTGTGAAACTACTCGTACATCTCTATTAAATTACTTACGAATAAAATACTTATAAATACAATGTACGAGTATTTTTTTAGTACTCGGGCCCAGCCCTGTAAAATATACCCCTGTTGTCTCTTTTTTCATTGCTCACGAGGCGACGGTCACTGACACAATGAGTTATTTTGTTGCCACTATTGTTGGTTGTTAAAACAAAAAATTGCGAGTGTTATGGTCATTTTTCGAAATGTGCCACTTTCGCACCCAGTGATTAATATTTGCTATACGAATGAATTCAGTAAAATTATCAAAATAAAAAGAAATCGATAGAATATTCGAAAAAACAGGTGATATATGACGACAATTTATATTATAATAAGTAAGACATATGCACGGTACCTTAAAAATGTTCAGGATCATCTTAAAAACGAACCCAAATCTTCTCAATTTTATCTACATAGTAAAAATTAAACTACCCAAATGTCAGGTAGAACAACCTTAAAATCTGAGACATAAAACGTGTCCTCATTCAATTATAAATAGCATTAGCATATTTTTGATTACGCCTCCTAATACAAGATTTCTTATTCATAAGAAAAATGTCACTTTTCACACTCGTTATGTAATATTTTATTTAAATCACAAAAACTGCAATGATCCCTCAATGTGTAACCTACCGCACGCAGGTACCTTAATAATTTATTAATTTCATTTAATAAATATAAAATTGCATTCTTTTTAAATTCAAAATCCTTCATTTTGGGAAAAATCTCCCAGATAATTAAATCTTATTTACGACACCTAATAAATAATAGAGAGTTGAAGTGATGTTATGAACGTAAACGTATACGTAAAATTTTACATCTGCGCATGCGTATTAAAATATCTTTCACGTATACGTCTACGTACATACGTAAACTTACGGGCTCTGGCGTATACACGTAACGCAAACAAAATAACCTCTTGTTAATTGGAAAAGAAAAAATCCCAATATAATTTGTAATAAATTGTTATCATTTGTCAGGACACGTAAATGTAACGATGCGTTTAACAACTTCAACTCATATTTTGTACTACAACGTAAACATTATTTTTCTGCGTTTACGTTCACGTTTACGTAAACGTACTGAAAACACTTCAACTCTCTAATATCTATAACCACGTCCGTAAAAGATCTAAATTTCGTGAACGTGCCTGGGAACATAAACCATAAAACATATTTCTTTTCACGAAGTAATTATCATTAAAACACTTAACTCGCTTATCTTTCTAGTTTTAATGTTAAGACCGATTTCGACAGAGACGTGACAGAAAGCTATTAAACTTAGTATAAAAAGTCTGACCAAAAGGAGCTCAGATTCATTTAATTTTTATCATTTGATGTGCAAGCATTCATTTTATTATTTTACATTCAAGCAATCACTTTATTGTCTGTACCCAGTTATATAGTCTGTATTTTCCTAAACGCTCTTCCTAAACGCTCTTCCTAAACGCTCTTCCTAAACGCTCTTCCTAAACGCTCTTCCTAAACAGGCCCGACTAGAGGGGGGGTAGCCGGGACCAATTCCCGGGGCCCGGGCTCAAATGGGGGCCCGGCAGCGCTGTAAGGGGGGCCCGACAATAGGGTTTTCTGTTCCCGCATGGTGATGGGATTGTTCGAAGAAGAATAATCGAAGTTAGGGATCAAATATTTTTTTTAAGAAGTAATTGAGGTCCGGAGAAACTTTAATTTTTAAACGCTCTTTCTAAACGCTCTTCCTAAACGCTCTTCCCAAACGCTCTTTCTAAACGCTCTTCCTAAACGACGTCTATCCCACAATACCTCCTGTTTCCCAAAGGTGTCAACGTCTCGCCTTCCTACATTATCTTTCGACATCCCAACGATATCACTTCTAACACCACTTAGTATTTCCTACCATTATATTCATCCCGACGCCCAACGTCTCGACGCTCGACGTCCAGACGCCCTACTTTCCTACTTTCTACGTCTCGAACGCTGTAACATTCCGCACCATCTAACTATTTCCTACCTTACATTTATTACGACGCCCAACGTCCCATCGCTCTACTTCTTGACGCTTGCCGCCCCTAACTATTTCATAATATCCTTATCGCCACCCTTCGTCACGTCCTGCACCACCTTAATATTTCTACCATATATCTGTCCCAATGCAGTACCGTATAAAATACCTTCCTTTCCACCACGACGCTAGGCGCCTCGACGCGAGGCGATGCTCAACGCTGCGACGTACCTGATTCGATGCCGTCACAACGCTAGCTGAAATTAGTACATAATCTAATGTCTGTATTTTCAATGGTGAGTTGAAAGATTTATGTAACTTTCGTTGAGATACCACCGGGGTTTCGTTTAGACGAGGGCTGTTGACATTTGCTACAAAATATTATCAATTTAACCAATAAACCACATGGCCTTCAAGTCATACACCCTAAAGACAGTTAGGATAGACATCTGTTTTCGATAGGGGAAATTTTGAGTTAGAAATTATAAAAATAAATTTTAAGAAATATACAGGGTTGCATTAAGTTATTTCAATAGAATTTATAATAATCAATATAAAAAAATATACAGGGTTGTATTAAGTTAATTCAATAGAAATTATAAAAAATCAATATTTTAGGAATATTTTAGTTCCGAGCTGTGATAATTTATTTGTTTTCATCGTAAAATAGTGCCACTAAGCCTTATTTGTGCAATCGTAAAATCTATAAGTCACATATATGCAGTTCGTGCCAATAAAGTGAACATTGTAGTGTTTTTGAAAAAAACGTTTGTGTGTTTAGTAAAATAATATCAAATATTTTCACTTGACCATCATTCTCGGTCCAGTGGCGTCACTCAGTAAAATGCAAGGATATAAGCTCTGTTTACCGCCATGTGTCGTGATGAAAGTCAATTCTGCACACTTTGCAGGGATAAGGTAAAAGCAGATAATTACATAAAATGTGCTGGCCCGTGTGAAAATGTCTACCACTTAAAATGTGTAAAAATAAATACAAATGATTTTAATACTTTTAATAATATTGTGGGCTTTAAATGGTATTGAAATTCGTGTTTAAGTTTTGTTGAATTTGTCAAGGGTTTCAATAAAGATTTTGATAATTTTAAAAATAGAATTGTCAAGGAGTTACAAGAGTTGAAATGTAAAATAGATAAAACGCCAGATAGTAATGAACAAAATTTAAGCACAGGAAAGTCGTATGCTAAAAGAGTAGGAGGTGAAGCCGTTGTTATTAAACCAAAAGTAAAACAAGATAGTAGTAAAACCAAAGATTTTCTAGTTAAAAAAGTGAAACCGGCTGACTTGGAGGTTGGTATAACTCAAATTAGGAACCTAAAAGATGGTGGAGCATTTATTAAATACAAAACTAAAGAGGAAACGAATAAACTTAAAAGAGATGAAATTAGGTAAAAATTATTTAATTAATACACCAGATCAAAAAAATCCTCGCATAAAAATTGTTGATTTCGATGAAGATTTATCTTCAGAAAAGCTGATTGAATATATACATAAACAAAATTCATTCTTGAAAGAAGATGATAAATTAGAGGTAATTGTTATAAAAAAGATGATAATCAGATATATGGCAATCGTTGAGTGCAACCCTGTGACCCATGCAAAATTTCTTAGTGAAGGATATCTTAGTATTGGATGGGCTCCATCGTGTAGGGTATTTGACTATGTGCGGGTATATAGGTATTTTAATTGTGGCAGTTATGGTCATAAAGCCATTAAGTGTAAAGCCAAATTATGTCTAAAGTGCGGTGCAAATGATCATGGCATGGAAAATTGTACATCCGTTTCTTTTAAATGTATCAACTGTGTGGAAGCTAATGATAAATTAGGCTGTAATTTCAATGTTGATCACTCGTTTTTCGATGTCAAAAGCTGTAACGTTTATCACCATGAGGTAAATACGGAAAAACAAAAAATAAAAAATCAGTAACAATTACAGAATACAACTTTAAAAAAACCTAAAACATTAACTGTTTATCATCAAAATGTGCGAAGTATATCAACGAAAAATCGATGTTCTGGAAATTGAGATGTTTAAACATAATGTAGATATTTTTTGTGTGTCTGAACATTGACTAAAGGAAGGACATGATGGAATAATCAGCATTGAAGGTTACAAGCTTGTCTGTGTATATTTGAGATGTCAAAAAATGTGGGGAGTTGCGATTTTTTGCAAGAATGAATTGTCAAAAAATGTTAAAGAAATAACTAAAATAAAACAATTTTCTGTTGAGGAACAATTTGAAGTTTGTGGAATTAAATTGTCGTTAGACAAGGAGATAATAGATATTTATTGCATTTACAGTAATCCTTTAAATTCTAATAAAATAATTTCTAATTTAGATTTATTTCTTGCAGAAATTTGCGCCGCCCATGATAATAGCAAACAATGTCACAAGTTTTTATTCTGTGGGGATCTAAATATCAACTACCTAGTAAATTTCTTAGAACGTAAACAATTATCAGATGTTTTTGAGTCTTTTGGTATGTTCAACCATATAAATAGTGCAACGAGGACACGCCTACATCAAAAACAGCAGTTGATTATATATGTAGTAATTTTATTGGGAATATATTCGCTGATATTAGTTTTAATGGCTAATCGGATCACTCTTGTCAAGTGCTGAGATACGAAATTATTTTTCCAACTATTATAGAAAGTATAATAACAATAATTAATTGTAGAGTATTCAATGACACAAATTATCAGGTATTTTATAATTATTTAAATAATGAATCGTGGACGGATATATACGAGTGTGTCGACGTTAATCGTGGTTTTAAGTTCTTTGTTAATACCTTAAAATATTATATAGATATATCATTTTTATTTAAAAACATAAAACCAAATCAATACAAAATAAAACTATGACTGACATCAGGAATTTTGCGGTCTTCTCAAAGGTTAAAAGAACTTTACCATTTAATGTGTTTAACAAATGACCAAGCAGATGTTCATTATTATAGGAATTATAAAAAAATATATAAAAAAATTGTAAAAGCCGCGAAAAAAATGCAAAATGATAGAATATATAATATCCCAGCTAATAAAAGTAAGTGGGTATGGAACCTAATAAATACAAATACTAATATACAGGGATGTGCTATCTTGGATAAATTGTACAAACCAAGATGGTAAAGTATAATAGTTAGTTAACCAACTGGTGAATACACTGTTCGTTAGCTCAAGGGGGGACACCTATATGCTAAGCAACCCGTTCACTAGGTTTGAAACAAAGTATATATAAAATCAACATAGTAAGGTAATTAACTGGCGAATTGGCGTTGTTCATTACTTCCGTTGGTCATCACCTCTAAACTCGTCGAAATATTTACCTAAGAGGGTGCAACCTGTGTATATCTAGAATAGAATTAAATCAACGTCAACACAATAGTTAACCAACTGGCGAATTGTCGCTGTTCCTTAACTCTGTAGGTCATCAACCTAAATAAAATATATATTGATAGCAAATGAATATGATCTGCGTTTGAACGGGACTCAAGTGAGATCTCAGTAAATAATAACAATTGTAATATACTTTGCTAATTATTGCATCACTTTTAAAGCATGAAAAATAAAAAGAATTTAAATATAAATTTGTATGTTTTATTTATTAATTTGCACCAAACTTGGGTATATAAATTATCAATTAATTAACTAGACGATCACTTTTACTACTAGGGGAATAACAATTACAGTAAGTATAGAATTTAAAGTAAAACTTGTGAGGAAAGTAATAACATTTTAGAGAGTAAAATAACGAACAAAATAGGGGGTGCCGGGAGTAGGCCATGAGAAATGCTAAAATATTTAAATTTAAAAAAAGCAGTAATAACTAAACAGCTATGTATTTACCGAAATGCGTTTTTTATGTTCCTTAGATAATATACTAATGTAGTATGAAAGATGTTTTAAATGTAATTAAAAAAAAAAAATAGAAATCCTATCCATCCCTGTAGTGCACTATATCCGAAGATATATCATTCTGTCCCGGTTTTTTGTCCATTCCAAAACCATGACTACAAATTCCGGGTCTTAATCCCGTCTCTCGGGCGTTCTTTGTAGAGGTGTTTTGTCCGTAAGTCTACCGGTTGGGGTTTTCTTTCGTCCGGCATCCAGCAAAATTATCCCCATTAATTAAATAAATCCCTTCTTCAAGATAAATTGCCAAGCGAACAATTACTCCGGGATTAGTTCGTTGGAACTTCTTCGAAGAACTTCACAGATTAAAAATTCGACGAATGCTCTCATTCGCATCTGCTCCTGTCAGCTTTAATGCACAAGAACGAAGAGATCATTCCCGGATATTCATTTGAATTTATATTTTATCTATTCAAGTAATTAGTTTAATGAATTTATTCTGTAAACTAAAACAAGTGTTAAAAGTGGCATTTTCTTTTGTGAATAAAGCAACCCCACGAACAAAATAAAATCACTTTTATCAAATTTATTGTTCTGAAAACTACAAGATACGAATTATCGATTTTTCAATCTCTTCTTTAAATACCTATGATACAGATCCCAGGATATGAAACCTGGCAAAAGTTCAAAAGATTTTGAAATTATATTTCTGACTTTGAAATTTGCTAAATTAGTCATGACATAATTTTTGTTCCGCTGACAATTACAGTGACAGAATTTTTTTGAGTGCATTTTATTTACATAAATTCTATTCGTTATGAACTTTTATAAATGTATTGCTAGAGTAAGTAGATAAAATTCATCAAATATATAATCTTACTAACCAATTACATACATTTGGATCTGATGCCAGCGAATTCATATTGTCTCTTCAAGAATATTTTGATGCACTAAAAAGTAAAAATGAAATATACCATATATTCTGTAGAGACATTAATATTAATTTACTGGTTGATACCCAGATGGTACCTCAGAGTAGTACATAGAGGCCAGTAAACAATTTTGTTGTCGCCTATGTTTTATTAATTTAATTTTTATTAATTTTTATTAATTTTTATTAATTTTTATTAATTTTTATTAATTTTTATTAATTTTTATTAATTTTTATTAATTTTTATTAATTTTTATTAATTTTTATTAATTTTTATTAATTTTTATTAATTTTTATTAATTTTTATTAATTTTTATTAATTTTTATTAATTTTTATTAATTTTTATTAATTTTTATTAATTTTTATTAATTTTTATTAATTTTTATTAATTTTTATTAATTTTTATTAATTTTTATTAATTTTTATTAATTTTTATTAATTTTTATTAATTTTTATTAATTTTTATTAATTTTTATTAATTTTTATTAATTTTTATTAATTTTTATTAATTTTTATTAATTTTTATTAATTTTTATTAATTTTTATTAATTTTTATTAATTTTTATTAATTTTTATTAATTTTTATTAATTTTTATTAATTTTTATTAATTTTTATTAATTTTTATTAATTTTTATTAATTTTTATTAATTTTTATTAATTTTTATTAATTTTTATTAATTTTTATTAATTTTTATTAATTTTTATTAATTTTTATTAATTTTTATTAATTTTTATTAATTTTTATTAATTTTTATTAATTTTTATTAATTTTTATTAATTTTTATTAATTTTTATTAATTTTTATTAATTTTTATTAATTTTTATTAATTTTTATTAATTTTTATTAATTTTTATTAATTTTTATTAATTTTTATTAATTTTTATTAATTTTTATTAATTTTTATTAATTTTTATTAATTTTTATTAATTTTTATTAATTTTTATTAATTTTTATTAATTTTTATTAATTTTTATTAATTTTTATTAATTTTTATTAATTTTTATTAATTTTTATTAATTTTTATTAATTTTTATTAATTTTTTTATTAATTTTTATTAATTTTTATTAATTTTTATTAATTTTTATTAATTTTTATTAATTTTTATTAATTTTTATTAATTTTTATTAATACCTTGAATACGTTATTTACTTATGATGAGAAGCTACAATTCCAATTTTCAAATTTCCACAATTAAAAACCGAAAGTCTTATTCAAACTTTCATCTTCCGTTTCCTCCCTTAATATGTAAAATCTAAATACTTTGAAACATGTCTATTTATTTATGAAGAGTACCTAAAATTCCAATTTTCAAGTTCCTACCTAACAAACTTTCATAAAAAAATCAATTCTTCCATGCAACATTTTAACCTCTGTTTCCCCCCCTTAAAATGTGAAAAACCAAAAACTCCGAAACATGTCATTATTTATTTATGCTCAGTAGCATTATTTTAAACTTTCATGTTTCACTTACACTATGCAAAAAATTATGTCCGATCCTTTGCTATGTGAAAAACAAAAACAAATCGATCCCACTGTACATTTTTTCGGAATAAAAAGTATCCTATGTGCTATTCCAGATTATAATCTATATTTT